CAGACAGGGGCCCCCATCTCTGGGGCTGAACCCACGGTGAGTCCCGTCCCCCCCAGACGGGGCCCCCATCTCTGGGGCTGAGCCCGTGGTGACCATGGGAGCTGTGCCTGGATGCTTTTAAAATCTATTTTTATCTTCACTCACAGCTCCCCAGACTCCAGCAGCCGGGCAGGGGGAGCGAGCGCCTCCGTACTCCTGGCCACTTTCCCTCCACTTTGTGCCAGCCCTGGATGCTATTTCAGTGCAGGGATTTTACATCAGTTCCCTTTGGCTGTTTCCCCTGTATGTGTGGGGCTCGCTAGCAGTGATGGGGCCTCCAGAGGCTGAGCAATGGCAGAGAGGGAAACAGCATCTGCAGAGCTTGCACCAAGTCAGTTTCTGCTTTGGATCCATCTCTCCGGGTCTCACATCCCTGCTGCCCCAGAGTGACCCCAGCAGGACAGGGTGGGAGAGCCGGGGTCGGAGGCATAACCCAGCCGGTATATCAATCAGAACACAGCATTACTGCTGCCCCCAAGCAAGGCTGGATGGAAACAGGCCAGCATTGAATTCCCTCCTTGATCTTGGCGTCAGACTGGAGAGTCCATCCAATCCAGTGTCCCGTTTCTGAAAGCACCCAGCACCAGCTGCTTCAGAGGAAGGTGCAAGAAACCCCATAGGGGGACTTGCGGAATAACTGGTTCCCCCTACTGCCAGGCAAGCAGTGCTTGGCTCAGGCCCTGAAGCAGGAGGCTGCTGGCCCATTGCTGTACCATTGGGGGCTGCTCCCCACAGCCCCGGTTTTGCAGCCACTGGTCCCAGCATGGCACCAACCCAGAGAGGGACGGCAATTCTTTAAGCGCAAGCAGGAATTGCTTAATTTCTAAATGTAAACACCTACCTCCCCCAGCTGATGGACCGCTCCATGGAACTGGCTTCTGGCAGATGGTCCCCAGCAAAGCTGACTATCTGGATCCTGTAGCCACGCTGGTGGCCCCACTTATTTTCAAGGTTGGTGGTGAAGTGGATGTATCTGGGGATCTTGGAGTGAAGTGGGAACACGGCCTTGTCCTCAGTGTCCAGGACTTTCTTGGTGAGCCGTGGCCTCTGTATCTGGTGCTCTGGACTCCAAGGAGCCTGCACGGTGTCGAATGTCATGTCATGAGCCACCAGAGAATTCTTTGTTCCTACAAGGCAAAGAGAAAACCTCTGAGAAATTGCACCCTTGACCTCCTGGGGTTCCCGATAGGTTGTAAGAGTCAGGCCTTGGCTCATTCCGAACTGCAGGCTACAGAGGCAGGCCCTGCAGCTCACTCAGGAGGATGAAGAACTGTGTGAAAGATCTTGAACAGAACCAATCTATTGCATAGAGGAAACACCACCCCCTCCAAAGGAGCAGCTGACAATACTACAGAACAAGGAACTTCCTACTCACTTAGCATGTTGGGACATGAAACATTCTAGCGTTCTCTGCGGGATCGACTCATCAGAGTGAGGATCCCCAGCCCACCCTGCTGTGCACCCGAACTACTTGTGTCCTCTTGGAAACTCCTCCTTGCTCCACTGCTTTCCATTCTTCAGCCATGTGGGAAATGGGGAAAGGTCATTTCCCCCCATAACTCCTGGGAAAAAGGGTGTTCTCCCCTCTCAACACTTAGAGCTGGCTTGGGGAACTGAGATGTATTGCACAGGGCCTACTATACAGTGCATGTGTTTCAAAATCACCTGCTATATTTCTATGATGTCTCTTCAGGCAGCTCCACCACTAAACGATGTATCTGCCACCCTCTGTCTGTGACATGAGTATAGAGGTAGTCCTTTAATAGGTGCATCTTTTTTCATAGGTATCACCAGTCCATATTTAGATCGTTCAGCCATCCTACTCCTCGAGGGTAGCAAGGTGTTACAGTTCACCCTCCAGTCCTCTAATTGGGCAACCTTCAATAGTCTGTCGTCCAGTCTTCTAAGAGGTGCTGGTCCCATGGGACTCATGACATGGGTGGATTAGGGGCGAGGCCCAGCCCATCTTTGTTGAGAGGACTAATGTTTAATTTTAGTTATAAAATACCTTGTGCTTGGCTCAAGAGAGTTTAAAAGTCCAGAAGGGGGACAGAAAATTAACAGCTGAATATAGTGAGGAGCTAGAGCTCTGCCCCTGCAGCTCTCCAGGAGGACGCCAAGTGCTTTCAGCCAACGCAACACAAGTTAGAAGCATTATAGCATCAGCAGAGACTCTTGCTGGCTGATGATGCCAAGAGGGCAGAAACGTCCCTAAAAGCTTCCAACAGCTGCTGCCTTTTCACAAGTTAACTCTTCCGTGGGTGTGAAACTATTCACAGGAGTCACATGACACAGGGGTATTTGCCGTTGAACCCTTCCTGCCCCAGGTCATGCCATGGCAGTCAGGAAGGAACTGAAGTTTCAGCTTCTTGCCAGCTGTCCTGTGTGTCTGACACTCCTTGTGGCGGCTGTCCCATGTGTGCTGAGAATGCCTCTGGGATTTAGGGTGACCAGATGTCCCGATTTTATAGGGACAGTCCCGATATTTGGAGCTTTTTCTTATATAGGCTCCTATTACTCTCCACCCCCTGGCCCGATTTTTCACACTTGCTGTCTGGTCACCCTACTGGGACTTGCTCAGCGGATGCTCCACTGCTTAGGCTCACACCTATTGGGATGCAGATAATCACCACCTAGTGGTTAATTGGACGCTTTACTGGTATGTGGCTAAGGTATGGTTGGTATTTTGTCATGTGACACTGTTCATGCAGAAAGTCACTAGCAAGAGTAATCTGGTTTCCATGCTATATCCTAGTCGAATAGCTGGGTTTGATTCCTGCAAGCATCCCCTTTGGGGCTAAGTAGGTCTGTTACATAAAGTGGCCTCTTACCTGTGCCGAATTAATGCATGCCCCCACAGGTGGATTGGAGTGAATCCGTCCTAGCTTCTTATTCCCACGGGCAGTTAAGTTATACTCTTCCATGTTCAATGCTGAATCCTTTCTTCTCCCCCCATGGAGGCGGTTGCATCCAAGATCTATGGCATGCAGTCAGCAAAGTTTGTGTCTACAATTCCTAAACCTGCCAAATTTGATGTTTTTCCTATGGAAGTTGATCCAGAAGGTTTTCTAATTGAATCTGGCTGCTCCACTTTATCCGCTGCTCTGGTGAGTTTCTGTGCCACTTTTAGTTACACTGGTCTCCAGCTTGCTTCATGGGGAGGGGACCCTGCCAGCTCCCTGAATGACAAACTATAGAATGCAGAGCTTATATCTAGTGGCCCCAATTCTTGCTGCATTCCAGCCCCTTTACACCATTTCAGAACAGGGCAGATCCCAGAGCAACCCAGGGCTGGTGTAATGACTACCCCTACACACTCAGCTCCTGGCAGAGGAGTGAGCCAGGGGGTGGGAAAGGATGTGGCTGCCTCATCCCTTTGGGTTGCAGCTGTTCTGGGCTGTGGGAATCTGCCTTAAATTAGGTTCTAATTTACACTGGGGGATGGGCAGGCCCTGGCCAAGCCCAGAACTCAGAAGCCCCCTTTGCGCCACCTTGGGCTGCTCTTCCCAGAATGTGGTTCCCCATAGCTGCAAAGAGCACCGCAGTGCTGGGTGTCCTTCACAATGCACAGGCACGAGAGAGAGAGCGCGAGAGAGAGAGAGAGAGAGCGCACATGCAAAGAGACCTACCTCCAACATCCAAGTCCACTTTATAATTGATGAGATGGTTGTGCATTGTCCCTAGTGTGTATTCCCCAACCTGACTGCCATGTTCAGTGCCTGTGCCATAGAGAAAGGATGAGCTAATATAGCCAGTGGCATGGATTTTTACTTCAATAGCTCCGTTCTGGTAGAATATGAAGTCCCAGACGTAGTCATAGTTTATGAGAGTTGAAATGGCCCTAAGAACAAGGGCATATTTAGTCAGACCGCCATAGTACAGGGACTGCAAGTTGGAGTAATGGCGCCTCAGCGGGACTGAAGTGTCCTGCTCGAAAATACATAAGGAGTTTTTGTTAACTTTAGGGGTCTCTGATTCAACTAGATAGTGTCTATCCACATAGGTGGCTGTGTAGGGGCAATCAACACCTCTCACCAGCTCAAAAGCAAACTTGCCGATGCCAAAGCTCCCATCCATATATCTAGTCACCATCCCTCCGGGACAATTAGAGCCGTAGACAGCAAGGGCTTCTTGGAGACTCAGCTCATAGACAATCCTCTCTCCATTGAACTTGATGTCAAAGAGACGTGGTCCTGTGTTCACATCCATCCCAAAGGCGAAACTCCAGGACTGGAAGATGACGTGATTGTTTTGGATGCTGTAGCGGGGCCCACGGGGCTCATATTGCAAAGGGCCTGGTGCCATGGGGGCTGCTCTGGGCCTCATGGAGCCAAATTCCTCGTCAGGTCGGACTTTCTTAACTTTTACATCTTTCACGCGGCCTTGTATGAACTCTGTCTCCAGCTGCTCCATGTCTCCATAGTACTCGCCATTATAGAACACTTGGCTTATCCTCCATTGGGAGGCGTCCAGGCTGCTGTGATTAACCAGCACCTCCAGCCCCACTGGGTGCAGGAAGTAGCCGCTGCCATTCACGTTCTGGAACAGAACAAACCAGGTGGCACGATCTCCTGACTGGAACCCCCGAGGAACTGTGGTGAGGGTAGCAAAATTGGTCTCATCATAATCACAGCACTCTCTGAGCAAGCCTGGTGCTTTGGCGAACTCCTGGTAGACAAAGCGGTCAATATCCTTGTATTCCTTCTCAGTCACCGGTCTGCGGTGATACGGCAGCTTCCCTCCGTACTTCCGCACTGTGACATCCCTGTGAGTCGTCGGCTTGGGCAGGGGACCCACCACGTACTCCGTGACATTCGGATCTGGTTGGTTTCCGAAATACACCACAGCCAGCGCCTGCCGGGGGGGTCGCCTGCCCCCACGATCCAAGAACCCCAGCACCTCTGCCTTGGTGGGGAGCTGCACATCGATGTAATAAATGCAGTTATCAGAAGGGTTTGCTTGAGAGGCATCTACCAATGGCACCCCAAGGTTTTCCTGAAGATACGTCACCACTTGCTTCATTTCTTCCGGCGTCAGATCAGCGAAGACCAGGCTCTGATCACTGTGCTTTCCCCCCTGGCTGCTCAGGGTCTGCGGCTCACAGCTGGCTGGTTTCACTTCTCTCGTCAGCAACACACAAACCAAAGCGAAAATTGTGGCTAGCGCCAGGACCAAGAGGATGAGGACAGTTTTCAGGTTCATTTTGCTGCAGCTGCAGAGCTGGCTCCTGAAGCCTCACAGAATGGGAGTGCCTGCTGCAGTCAGCCTTGCTGCTGGACTTGTTATTCCAGGAGAGCTGGGTCTGTGTGTGAGGAGGTGCAGGGCTAGAGGAGGGAGATGTGGTGGGAAGACGCTTGAGGTTTGCCGTCAACCATAAAAGGCTTCTTCTCCGTCTCCAGACCATTCACAGGCTCAGCTTCTTAAGCAGCACGTTAGGTCTCCACACAGCACTCACTTCCTGGCCAGCTCTTCGGGAGGCTGCTCCCAGCTCCATGGTCCTTGGGGCAGGGATGGCTTTGGAGTCGTTTTAGAAAACACAAGCATAGACCCCAAACAACAGGGAAAGCAAAATGCTCTGGACAACAAAGCAGAGACGTTGAAGAAGAGAGACGGTCTGCTAGGGGCTTCCTGCCAGATGCTGAAACCCGATCCCTCCCTGGCTACAGTCCACTTCTCTGCTGCCCTGTCCCAAACTTCCCCCCTTCGGGCTTCGAACGATTCCCCTGCATGGTGATTTACTTGGTTACATCCCAAGAGCTGTTGTTTGGGCTGATCAGTCTGGATTTGTCTCTCGCGCCTGCTCTGCTGACGCCTTCATTCAGTGTTTGAGGGCAAATGGCCTCAGCTCTGGTGCTGGCTCCCCATAGCTATTCCGTATTCCAGCCTCCTGCTCTCAACACAGCAGGGCGTTCCCCCACTGGGTGTGTGGCACCCTACTGTGCGAAAAGCCCTCTTGGAATGGAACTCCTCACTGGTGGTACGACCCAGCGGGAATACGAGTGGCCGAACTGGGCCCATGGGGGCTAGGCACTCTGTCTTTGCTCCTTTGTTTGTCAAGCACCATGCACATTGCTGAGGCGATCTGCAATAAACAGGGGCTGCAGGAGGCCTTTAGAAATAGGGTTTATATTCTGTAGCAGCACCCAGGTGACGGGCCCTGAACAAACCTACATGGAGAGACAGCGCTTTCCCTACAGAGCTCACACATGCTATGAAATGAGCCCAGAGCAAACCAGCAAATCCCACTCCCCTTCCCCACGTTCTGAGGGCTGGATGTACCAATCACAGATGTGCTGTAGGCGGGTTGCTGATGATGGCCAGAGACCAACAGTGTCTCATCCCCTCAAAAATCTCCTTCCCCAGGGCATACCCCTCCCCCTGGGTTCTGAGCTGGATTTGGTGCAGAAAGGTAGGGAAGCCCAGGATGCTCTGACTCCACTCACAGGGTCAGGTGCAAACCCAAGCTCAGCTAAAAGAACAGGACGACTTGTGGCACCTTAGAGACTAACCAATTTATTTGAGCATAAGCTTTCGTGGGCTACAGCCCACTTCATCGGATGCATAGAATGGAACACCCAGAAAGAAGATATTTATACATACAGAGAACATGAAAAGGTGGGCGTAGCCAGACCAACTGTAAGAGGCCAATCAATTGAGATGAGCTATCATCAGCAGAAGAAAAAAACCCTTCGAAGTGATAATCGAGATGACCCATAGAAGGTGTGAGGATATTTTAACATGGGGAAATAGATTCAATTAGTGTAATGACCCAACCATTCCCAGTCTCTGTTTAATTGTATCTAATTTGCATATTAATTCAAGTTCAGCAGTCTCTCTTTGGAGTCTGTTTTTGAAGTTTTTTTGTTGCAAAATTGCCACCTTCAAGTCTGTCACTGAGCGGTTAGAGAGGTTGAAGTGTCAAGCTCAGCTGTCACTCAGTTTGCCTTGTCAGCAAATTGTCCTTTTCCAGCCCTAACTCCCACGCTCAGCAAATGCCACATCTCCCTCAGGCCTCTGCTCCCATCCCCACGTTTCCTGCCCGCCTCTGCTGCCTTCTCTCCTGCTGTTCAGGACATTAGCTGTTTTCCCCTCTTCCCATCCCCCTTCCCTTCCTCTTTTAAGGTCATAAGTTCCTTTCACCAAACGCTTGGGGAGCCTCCAGCTCTTGCCCTGTAGCTAGAGGTGACCATGCTTTGCTTTTGTAACAGCTGGGCAGGTCGGGCTCCAGGGCTGCAGGTTGGCTTCAGGATTTATGGTCTCTCTGAAACCGGCATGTTGCCAAAACCAAAGTGTTTCCTGCACGCTCCACCCCAGGAGCAGAGCTGACCCGGGTGACTATCTCTGGCCTCATCCCGAGGGCTGCTGCCCCTTCATACCAGGAACAGGGGAGAATCTGGACTCTGCATGGGGGTGGGGGCTACACCCCTGATTGGTTAAGACCCCATGGCCTGTCCTGTACCCCTAGTTTGGCAGAAGTGGCAAGCTCAGCTCAAGCATTTTGGAATTGTCTCCTTGGGCGTTGGGCAGGGAGGGGGCTTAGACCAACCCTTCCTATGATGGAGGAGAGGTCTGAGCTGCCAGCTCTGCCCCTTTCCTTCCCAGGAGCCCCGTTCCCAACCCAGAATCATTTTCAAATTCATCCTTCCAGTGGAGCAGGGCAGCGTCCCAGCAGATCAAATGCCTATCTCCTCTCGCGGCCAGGTCAGTGGCCCACTGGGCTCTTTTGGGGCAACATGTCCCTAACTCTGGCCTGTGGACCATCCCTCTGCCCGGGGGCATGGCCCTGCCTTGTGACTTGATCCGAACCTGCACGCAGAGCCCCGTCCCCTCGGCAGGCAGCGGGGACAGGCCCTGGCGGGGGATGCTTGTTGCAAGGTGGGTATCAGAGGGGGTCCCAGGGCACAGGGGGCTGGGATTGGACAGACTGGAACTGGGAGAAGCCCCCTAGGAGTGAGATGGATAAGGCAGTGCCATTGGCTGTCTGTGGGGAGCAGGGCTGCCCGGCACCTGGCACCCGCCTCGGGTGCTCACACCAGCAGCACCCGCCATGTCTCAGCTGCGCTCTCATGATGGGCACTGGCCTGCAGCGCCTCCTTCTGGCCCCGGGCCGCTGTGGCAACTGCCAAGCAAGCAGCCTCTGCCTCCCGTCCCGCTGCCCCAGGCCCCAGCCCAGTGTGGCAGAGACTCAAGGTAAGGGGGAGCCCCAACACCAGCCCCACAGCCACTGCCGCTGGCTTCCCAATCAGCCCAGCACCCCAGGCCTGCACCCCCCCCACCCCACCCCACCCCCGGCCCAGCTTGCGAGGACTCAGGTGCTCCAACACTGGAGCAACAGCCTTGTGCCCCATCTACGATTCTGCTGCTCTTCGGACATCTTGCTTTTACATCCAGTATTTACCAGAGATCACTGTCCCCAAAGCTGCTCACTTAGGGAGCAGATGCTCAGGAGCCACTTGTCAAATCTTCATCCCTTATTCCATTCCTATTGTTGACCTACCCCAAAGGTCTGGAAAGCAAAGTGAGGAGGAGTGACTTAGCTGACAGCCTTCTGCAGGGCACCAGACTCTCACGGCAGCCAGATCAGACCCTCAGGAGAGGCCTCAGGCTACAGAGCTTTATATATCTGATGTTCTTGAAAGGCACTAGCCCATGATGGGGACTGGCTAACCTCGGTGAGATCTCACAGCTGCTGTATGGCTTGTGCTTTCTCAAGGCTGGGATTTAGGAAAAACTTCAGGCCAGAGCATGTTTTTAAGGTTGACTTATCAGTGTAGGCAGCGCAGGCAGCGCATACTCCCCCTGTGGAATTCGTTTCCAGGGGGTGTTGTGAAGGCCAAAACTATAACAGGGTTCAAAAAAGAACTAGATAAGTTCACGGAGGACAGGTCCATCAATGGCTATTAGCCAAGATGGACAGGGAGGCAACCCCATGCTCTGGGTGTCCCTAACCCTCTCACTGCCAGAAGCAACAGGGGATGGATCACTCACTGATTGCCCTGCTCTGTTCATTCCCTCTGAATGGCCACTGTTGGAAAACAGGATACTGAACTAGATGGACCATTGGTCTGACCCGATACGGCTATTCACATGTGCTTACGCTAAGACTCTTAGCCCCTTCAGCCTTCGTAGACACAGGCAATGCAACAGTTTAAGAATAAGGCATTTGAGATGATGTTGGTCCAAAATTAAGCTTCATTATTTTCACCTGAGCCAGTTACTACTCAGTATTTATTACTGTTATCAGAGGAACAGAATTGGCTCTCCTTCTCCCTGCCTCCCTCCATGCGACAGACTGGATTTAAACATGTTATTCTAAAAAAGACTAATGCAAATTGTAACCTGGCAGTGCACTGAGAATGTTATGTTTCCCTTTAAAGATACAGCCCCTTGTAATAGTGAAGTTACTATATAAAAAGCTACACAACATCATTAACAGATGGACTTGAAGACAGAGTTCCATCATTAAAATAGATTTTTTCAGCAGAGTAGTCCCTCTGGTGCATCATATTCATTTCTTCTACCACCCAAAGACCCTGCAGCCCATAGCTCTTACAGTCTCGTCAGATTTTGGAAGCCGTCATAGGTGAACGGAGGGAGGATTGGTAAACATGAGGCACTTTTGGACAGGCAGGCAATATGGTTGACTTCACATACACTCGAGTCCTGCTCACTGCTGAAAAAGACGCCATCAGGTGAGTGTATGGACGGGTCTATGTCATAATAATTGTACGGTCTCAGGAAAATGCTGACTCCATTTCCCACCGTCACGGTGTTGGGAATATCCTCGGCATGTGGGATGTGAAGGAAACCAGTTGTTATCCAGGCAACCAAGTCCTGGGGAAGGGAGACAGCGTCACATAATTTGGTTATTTCAGGAGAACATCCCTTGGGGAGCACATACTGTCCGAGGACAGAACCTGCGAATGCCACCTGCCGGGCTCCCTCTTTAGGAGAGCGGCTTGGGCAATGGAAACATTTTCCTGACATTTTTTCCCCATTTGTTGGTATTTCAGATTTTTCAGACTGTCTTGACCAGCTCTGCTCATTCACTCTACACACGACTCAGTCGCAGGGACTTCACAAGGGCAAAGAATGAACAGGTGCCAACTCGGAAGAGGGGAAACATGGAGTGCAGTGAGTTATTTCTCCTTCCCCAAGATTTTACTTTTGTCCCACAGAAACCAAGAGTCCTGTTAGCAATGTCTTCTGAGCCCTGAGCAAAAGAACGGGGCTTGTCTGCGTGGGTCCTGGGCTGTGGATAGCTCCAAGACTGAGCATAATACTCGGCACACTGTAATATATGGCCCCAGCACAAAGAGAACCCAGCTCACCTCGTTTACGATGGTCTCATTGTCTATGAAGTCAGCGAAGGCCACGGTGGGCGTCCAGGGGTCGTTCTGGTTGTAGATACTGCTACTGGTCGGCTCCTCCTCTTTCCGTTTGGTGACAGCCAGTTTGTACCTAACGAGAGGAGAGAAAGAAGGCAGCCACGCAGGACAGGGAATTTAAAACCAGATTGGGAGAAATACACTACAGGAAACACTCTGCCCTGACCCCACCTGGCAGGGTGGACGGGGCGTGGGCAACATAATGTAATGGGTCTTTTCCATCTCAAGCGTCTATGATCCTAATGTATACCTCACAAAACTATTACCACAACATTCAGCCCAGCCGGCCGGATCTACTAAGGAAACACCAGAGACTGGTATAGCAGGTGCCGGCGAGGTGCATCAGCAGGAGGGGAATAGGTGTGACCTGGACGGACTGGAATAGCGGGTCCTGCAGGTCATGACTGAGATGCACGGACTGAGCTGTGACCAAGGGGTGAGGCAGGACTGGGAAAACCGAGGGGGCTTCAGGCCACAGTTAAGGTGCACTGGAAGAAGTGAGAGGCAGCAGAGTACAAAATGAACCAATGAAGTAGAGAATTCAATCAAGGTTGCAACGGAGGTTTGGCTTTAAACTCCAAGGAGCGGGCAAACAGCTGACAAACGTAGCCTTAGTTATGCCCTATGTCATGGAATTAGTTACTTCCAGAGACCTCGGTGACATTTGCTGCTTCAGCCCCAGGGGCTGCAGGACTCTGGAGCTGACAGCCAGTGACAGACTCCTGAGGGGGCCCTCCTCAGGGTTCCAGTGACCGTGCAGGAGGTGGGGGGTGTCCTGTTTTCTCTTTTTGGCTGCATTTCCCAGCCGCTGTGGGGGGAGGGGGAACCCCACAGCTCCCAGCCACCACGGTGGTGGGGGAAACCAGAGAGCTGCAGCAGCAAAAGTCATAGATAGGTCATGGGCTTCTGTGAATTTTTGTTTATTGCCCGTGTCCTGTCCATGACTTTTACTAAAAATAACCATGACAAAATTGTAGCCTTAGGCATAACTCCCAGTGATTGGTAAGAGGCAACGTGACACCCTTTCATTAGAGTGTACAAGAGCCTTTGCCCACGTCCATTCTATGGGTACCTGAACCATGCAGCCACTGGACACCTAGACACCCACAGGTGACTTATGCATCATCATAAACTATGTGGTAACATCTAGATGAAAGCTGCCTACCTCCCCCAGCTGATAGCTCGCTCCATCAAACTGGCTTCTGGCAGATGTTCCCCGGTGAAGCTAACAATCTGGATCCTGTAGCCACGCTGGTGGCCCCACTTATTTTCACTGTTGGCTGCAAAATAGATGTATCTGGGCATGTTTGAATGGAGCCGGAACGCAGCCTTGTCCTCGGTGTCCAGGACCGCTTTGGTGAGCCGTGGGCGCTGTATCTGGTGCTTTGGACTCCAAGGAGCCTGCACAGACTCGAATGCCATGTCATGGGCCACCAGAGTATTATTCACCCCTAAAAGACAAAGAAAAACACCACTGAGAAATCACTTCCTGTACTTCCTAGACAGCATATGCATTCTCACCATCACCCCGTCCCAGAGACCCTGAACAACGTGGGTTCTGCATGGGGCCCATCCATGTCTGCAGCTCTATGCCCAACAAGCAGTCTAACGCCAAACGAGCGGCTAAGTCCTTCCCAGTTGTGATGAGTGGCTGAGATGCAATGAGATGTGACCAACCCCATCATCTGGCTCCCGTAATCACCTAAGGTGAAACTCACCCTGTGCAGAGGGTTAAGTGGAGCCTAAGAGGTGCATTACCCTTGTGCTAGCCCCTGCACTCTCCCCAGATGACAAGGCAGCTACTGTAATTAACAAATGTTACATATACAATAGATCAGTGGTTTTCAACCTTTTTTCATTTGCAGACCCCTAAACAATTTCCAGTGGAGGTGCAGACCCCATAGTCTGTGGATCTCCAGGTGTCCGCACACCACAGGTTGAAAACCACTGCGATAGAGCAAGTAGAATATTTCTGCTTATGATTTTGCAGCTTCCTAGAAGAGAAGGTGAACTTGCAAAGTGACAGGGGGAGTGAGCAGGACCTCTCAAGAACTGGGCGATTCCATGTAATTCAGGGCCTTGCAGGGAATGAGTCTGAGCAGTAAGGGTCGGGGAGGGCGGCTTTTGTCATATGTGAATTCCAGGGATTTATAGAGTGGCATTATGATATTTTCTATTGTCTTATCTGTCCCTTTCCTAATGGTTCTAACCTTCTGTTCACTTTTTTGACTGTTGCTGCACATAGAGCAAATGTTTTCAGGGAACTATCAACGATGACTCCAAGATCTCTTTCTTGAGCGGTAATAGCTAATTTAGACCCCTTCATTTTATATGTATAGCTGGGATCATATTTTCCAATGTCCATTATTTTGCACTTACCAGCATTGAATTTCATCTGCCATTTTGTTACCCAGTTGCCTAGTTTTGTGAGATCCCTTTGTAACTCTTCCCAGCCAGCTTTGGACTTAACTATCTTGAGTAATTTTGTATTGTCTGCAAATTTTGCCACCTCACTGTTCACCCTATTTTTCCAGATAATTTATGAATATGTTGAACAGCACAAGTCCCAGTACAGATCCCTGGGGGACACCCCTATTTACCTCTCTCCATTCTGAAAACTGACCATTTATTCCTACCCTTTGTTTCCTATCTTTTAACCAGTTACCAATCCATGAGAGGATCTTCCCTCTTATCCCATGACAGCTTAATTTACTTAAGAGCCTTTGGTAAGTGACCTTATCAAAGGCTTTCTGAAAATCTAAGTACACTATACACTCTGTCCACATGCTTGTTGACTCTCTCAAAGAATTCTAATAGATTGGTGAGGCCTGATTTCCCTTTACAAAAGCTGTGTTGACTCTTCCCCAACAAATCACGTTCACCTGATAATTCTGTTCTTTGTTTGAAATTATAGTAATGTTCTGGTATTGCAGTTAAGCCACCACCCTGTAATTGCCAGGATTGCCTCGGGAGCCTTTTTTAAAGTAGGCATTACGTTAGTTGCCCTCCAGTCATCTGGTCCAGAGGCGGATTTGAGCAATAGGTTACATACCAGTTAGTAGTTCCACAATTTCATACTGGAGTTCCTCCAGAACTCTTGGGTGAATACCATCTGGTCCTGGTGACTTAATACTGTTTAATTTATCAATTTGCTCAACATCCATCGCTATTGACACCTCAGTTTGGAACAGTTCCTCAGCTTTGTCACCTAAAAAGAATGGCTCGGGTGTGGCGTTCTCCTGCACAACTAGAGCCCTGCATATCCATGGATATCCGCTTTATATCTGCAGATATCCGCATCCACAGACCATTTTTGCGGATCAGACACAGATACAGATTTTGTATCTGCACAGGGCTCTACCCATATCCTTTGCAGTGAAGACTCTGCAAAGCATTCATTTAGCTTTTCTGCAATGGCTTATCTTCCTTGAGTTCTCCTTTTGCACCTCACTCATTCAGTGGCCCCATGGACTGTTTGGCATGGTTCCTGCTTCTGATGTACTGTAAAAAAAATTAAGTAAAAGTGGCTTATTCCACTACTAGGAGACCTCCATATCTCAGTGAACTTCCAAAAAAATGTATAGGCCAACACACAGGCTTTAGGACTAGCAGATGTTTGGACTGCAAGCGGAGTTCTTGGCCCGAACTCAACAGAAAAAGCTGTGACTCATAAGTCATATTCCAGGGCGATACTGGCTCACAAACTGCCATTTCTAGCACTGTAGTGCCTGCTTCTTCCACAACTACTGGACTTTATAGCAAAGCATGATCAAGGTCTCAAAGAGCATACTGTCAAAGCTGATCAGTCACATTCTTATGGCAAACTCATATCAGTTCATACTTCACAATGCTTTCAGAAAATCTCACCTCTACATTTTTGACCAGCAAAGGGGAGGGGAGGGGAGGGGGTGAACCTCAGGTTTTGATGTCAGTACACGAAAATGGTGGCCTTACTGCTCTTGTTCAACCATGCACAGAGAGAAGGAAATTGAGAGGTGCAGCTCTTCACCTTCAAATGTGAATTCGAATACTGCCATTCTTCATGAGCTGTGACCACACAGACTGCAAGGCAGGGGTGCTACCTACAATGCAGAAATGCATCAACTACCAGCCGAAGTGGTCAAAGAGTTCCAGCAAGGAGAATGTGGTCAAGAGATCACGTCAGAAGTTCAACCAAGTGGACCCTGATCAGAGCCAGGAGTGGCTTACTGGGGTAGGGAAGAAAGGACTGTAGGCATCACCAAGACTTGCTCAGTCCTCAGCAGATGGGCCTGGTCTTACAACCGGAGAGCCCATATCACAGCAGACAGCAGAACCATGATCCATGTTGGCTTGGATGGCAACTTGTTCAAGAAAGGCAAGGAAGCAACGTGACAATGAAGATGAGGATTCATTCTTACGAACACTTCAGAGGTTCGAGGTGTTCTCTGGGGATGAGCCACCAACTTCATTGCAAAATATCGCAACAAAAGATCTAGCTGCTGAAGCCATACAGGGCCCACGGCTGAATGCAAAGAGCCTAGGAAAAGTGCAACTGGACAGCTGTGTTGAGAAACAGCTGATGACAGAAGAGAGGGATCCTGGTCACGTACATATTCATCATCCACTGCCAAAAAATAATGCTCCAACTTTTTTCAAGCTCTACGAGGTGGGGGAAGAAGTCAAAGGAAAGGCTTCAACTATGAAGATGGACAGAAATATTCTTCAGCAACTAATCACAGCCTATGAAGCCAGCAGGATTGTGAATTTGCAACAGATTTTGACACATGAGTTAATGCCAATCCCTTTGGCATTAGCACAGGCAAATGACAGTCTAAGAATAGGCACAAAAGCAATATTGGGTGATGTACTGGCAGACGATGTCCACTGCCCACCAACAGTTAACCCTGCTGGGAGGAGCTGTCTTGTGATAGATGCATAAGATTTGGTACAAGCCATAGGAAAGCCCTCCAGGGCCAAAACATTTGGAGACCTTGTAGACACATTTGTAAGAACAGGCCTGGAGCAGACTCTCACAGAATAGACATGCATTTGGCAGTTACTGCGAAGAATATATTAAGTGTTGTACAAGGCAAAAATGCTCAAGAAGTACTAGACCCATCTGAAGAAAGGTGGAAGGCAGATACGTGCCTCTCCCAAGTAACTGGATGAATTTCATTGCACTGCCAGAAAATCAGGAGGCTCCTGTAATATTTGTATCGGAGTAACTAAAACTAGTCTACTAACAAATTCAGTGCATGGACAGGAGACTGGTAAGGGCCCGTGGGAATAAGATAATCGAGATGTTCACGAGAAGGAATCCCAGGAACTTTCCAAACTCTGGGAGCCAGGAAAAGGTAGTTATAGTCTCTGGTTCTCAGTTTGAGTTGCTCCGGCTTCTTCTGCTTAGGCAAAGTGAGTTTCCTTGAAAATAATTTCAGTGCAGCTACAGCAGGTCTGGGCGTATCTGCCTCTACTTGCCCTCGGGAGGACAGAATGCCAGAAATCAAGCCCACAGCTCTATCCAGGTTGGATTATTTATTTGTATCTTTTTATTTTAGGAAAGAAACACGTTGTCCTCCTCCAGTCATGCTGGGGTTGTTTGCTCCTCCCACGGACAGCAGCTTTTGTATAAAAACCATCCATGTGGCTTTTGTCACAAATGAAAATAACGCCAAGAAAATCCGCAACTGCAGCCCAGCAGGGTTAGTGCAGAGCGACTTGCAGTCTCACATCCCAGCCTGTGGGGGGGTGGCAGGTGCCGTCTGTGCCATACCCTTGCAACGTGCATAGCGCAAGTTCAAGCAAGATGCAGCAGAGCTGCCTTTGTTATTCAGGGACAGAACCGGCTCCAGGTACCAGCAAAGGAAGCAGGTGCTTGGGGCGGCCAATGGAAAGGGGCGGCACGTCCAGGTCTTCGGCAGCGGGTCCCTCGGTCCCTCTCGGAGCGAAGGACTCGCTGCCGAATTGCCACCGAAGAATGAAGCGGCGCGGTAGAGCTGCCGCCGAAGTGCCGCCAACCACGGCATTATCTTTTCTTCTTTTTTTTCCCGCTTCGCCGCTTGGGGCGGCAAAAAAGCTGGAGCCGGCCCTGTTCAGGGATCACAGCTGTCAGCTGGCCCTGAGAGACGGAATCCAAAGCTCGGGGTCAGAGGATGAGAGGAGGCAGAGAGGCATGCTCGCAATACTGTGTGTCACAGGGATGGGGCAAAACACAGCCCTTTCCTTAACGTTGCTGCCAGAACACTGGCTGTGGGCAGCTGGACACAGAGAAGGCCTGTTACTGCAGAACATTCCCAGGTGATTGAGTTGCTGGACTGATTGGGGGAGGCCTGGTGGGTCACCACCTTAGACCTGACCAAAGCTCCTGGCAAATTTCCACTCCTTTTGGCATCTTGGGAAGAAATGGCTCTTCCCCCATATGGCTCATCCTGTTTCTGAATCCTGCTCCTTGGATTACACAGTGCTGCCTGCAAGCCTGGACCTGGATCCTTCAGCATTGTGGCTAGCACGCTTACGCGTGCCAGCAAGTTAAAGAAGTATGGGCTGGATGAATGGACTGTAAGGTGGATAGAAAGCTGGCTAGATCGTCGGGCTCAACGGGTAGTGATCAACGGCTCCATGTCTAGTTGGCAGTCAGTATCAAGCAGAGTGTCCCAAGGATCGGTCCTGGGGCTGGTTTTGTTCAATATCTTCATTAACGATCTGGAGGATGGTGTGGACTGCACTCTCAGCAAGTTTGCAGATGACACTAAACTGGGAGGAGTGGTAGATACGCTGGAGGGTAGGGATAGGATACAGAGGGACCTAGACAAATTAGAAGATTGGGCCAAAAGAAATCTGATGAGATTCAACAAGGACAAGTGCAGAGTCCTGCACTTAGGACGGAAGAATCCCATGCACTGCTACAGACTAGGGACCGAATGGCTAGGAAGCAGTTCTGCAGAAGAGGACCTAGGGGTTACAGTGAACAAGAAGCTGGATATGAGTCGACAGTGTGCCCTTGTTGCCAAGAAGGCTAACGGCATTTTGGGCTGTATAAGTAGGGACATTGCCAGCAGATCAAGGGATGTGATTATTCCCCTCTATTTGACATTGGTGAGGCCTCATCTGGAGTACTGTGTCCAGTTTTGGGCCCCACACTACAAGAAGGATGTGGAAAAATTGGAAAGAGTCCAGCGGAGAGCAACAAAAACGATTAGGGGGCTGGAGCACATGACTTATGAGGAGAGGTTGAGGGAACTGGGATTGTTTAGTCTCCAGAAGAGAAGAATGAGGGGGGATTTGATAGCTGCTTTCAACTACCTGAGGGAGGGTTCCAAAGAGGATGGAACTCGGCTGTTCTCAGTGGTGGCAGATGACAGAACAAGGAGCAATGGTCTCAAGTTGCAGTGGGGGAGGTTTAGGTTGGATATTAGGAAACACTTTTTCACTAGGAGGGTGGTGAAGCACTGGAATGGGTTACCTAGGGAGGTGGTGGAATCTCCTTCCTTAGAGGTTTTTAAGGCCCGGCTTGACAAAGCCCTGGCTGGGATGATTTAGTTGGGGATTGGTCCTGCTTTAAGCAGCGGGTTGGACTAGATGACCTCCTGAGATCCCTTCCAACCCAGATATTCTATGATTCTAACTACTGCTCCAGGGATTTATCCCAGCTCCTAAAACCAGCCACCCCTAACGCCAGCCACCCCTCTGCATTGGTTGTTTTTTTTCTAGCTAGAGAAGATAAAGCCAGTGAAGAGCATTATTTACTTCCATCCTGAGGCTCTTCCCTTGCCTCCCCACACCTGCTTGGCCAGGCACCTGGTGAGTGACATTTGTTTGCATGAATCTTTCCTTATTAGAGACAGCAATGCTCTGGCTCACAAGGCTGTTGCCCCTGGAGAAAGCCTATGGACCAAAACCCCACTAGGCAAGCAGCAGAGACGGCTTCTCACCAGGAGGGCACCAATCTTAAAAAGGTGATGTTTGGCCTGAGGTACCAGACACTGGGCATGTGGATGAGCCTGGGCTGAGAAATGCAACAGAAATAATAATAATATGGAGATATACCTATCTCCTAGAACTGGAGGGGACCTTGAAAGGTCATCGAGTCCAGCCCCCTGCCTTCACTAGCAGGACTAAGTACTGATTTTGCCCCAGATCCCTAAGTTGCCCCCTCAAGGACTGAACTCACAACCCTGGGTTTAGCAGGCCAATGCTCAAACCACTGAGCTATCCCTCAAGACAGACTCCTAATGGAGAACCTCCCTCTCCCTGTTTCCCACCAGAAATCTTATCATGCCATCTTAGACAAGGGCCATTTCTTTGTGAAAGGACAGTTGGCTCCCACTTCCAATAGTATTTTAATTTGTCCAGTGGAATTTCCAGCTGGAGGGTTAGTGGTCCCCTGTTGACCCAACAGCGACCAATGGAAGGACCTTGATGGAGTCTAGTGCAAGTCAGCATGGGCCATCACCCTGGGCACAGCGGCAAGAAGCAGGAGACCTGGATTCTGTCTTACTTCAGTTACTCTCTGAGCTTGGTATTCTTGTCCCCTCAGTTTCCCCGTTTAAGTGAGAACAATACGGTTGACCCAGCTCTGCGAAGCAATTCAAGAGCTAGGACTGAAGGTCTGATGTACGTGCGATGCATGCTCACTACGGCAGTTTGCACTAGAGCAGTGGTTCCCAAACTGGGGTTTGCGAACCCCTGGGGGTTTGCCAGAAAAATGTCACTAATGGCAGACAGAGGACCCCGGGCATTGGAGACAGCAGGTGGGACCCGATTGCAGGGCAGACTGCCCGAGCCCCAGGGAGAGCGGGGCCGGGCAGTTGGGGCTGGCAGCCCGAGTCCCGGCCGTCAGCGGGGGAGCTGGCAGCCCGAACCCCAGCCCGAGCCCCAGGAAGAGTGGGGGCAGGTAGCTGGGGCATCCATCACACTGAGGAAATTTAAACTTAAATCCCTGAAAATACTCATTTTTAGGAGGGGGTTCGCGAGATTTCACAATTTAGTGAAAGGGGTTCGCGGGCTGTTAAAGTTTGGGAACCACTGCACTAGAGTATTTCCCATCTGCCGCTTCTTGTCAGTCACTCTCCTCATCTCCCCACCGCCAGGAGCTCTCTGCCTTTCTGTCCCTGTCGAGTGGCTGGGATTCAGCAGGCTGGCTTTTCTCTGCAAAGCCCAAAACTCCAGTTCGTTTGGCGCTGGGAAGGGTGCAGGGGCTGCTGTTACCAGAATTCAGGCCAGAGCCTATTGCTGAAAGCAGCTGGTAGGGCAGACTTCTAACCTATTCATCTGATGGACATTTGCAAGTTAGGTGCAGAGCATAGACAGACAAGGGTGTATGATGCAGGCCTCTTAAACAACCCGCCCCAGACCCACCACGCCTGAGCTTGCTACGGCTGCTTCAACCCTCGGCAAAATCCCAGAGGGCTTGTGAGAAATGGGTGAAACGTAAGAGGTTATTTAAAATCGGTTTGTGCATGTCCTGTGCCTCTCCCCGAGCGCTAGAAGGTGAGCACCAATGTTCCAGCCCGGGGAGTCGGGTGAGGTTCCTGGGACTGCTAGAAACGGATCTGCCAGCATCTCGTCTCCTGTATGATTGACATTGGTTGGGTGCTCTAATGCTGCTCTCTGCTGGCCGAGCGTTGTGCTGCCGGGCTGAACCAGACAGTCGGCCAGTTACACTCATGCCACTGCCAAAGCTTATGCGCAAATAAATGTGTTAGTCTCTAAGGTGCCACAAGTAATTCCTGTTCTTCATGCCACTGCCCTGACTTCAGCGAGTCAGCCACAGGTACCCGAGAGCAGAACGCAGGCTGCTGTATCCGAGGTGCCCGCATCCCTCTCCCAGCCTTCGGGGATGGTGGGGATTAGAGTACAGGTGCCTGGGGGAGGGAGCTGCACAGCCTGTTAACATGGGAGAGGGGTCTTGTAACTGCAGACAAAGATCTGAGCACCATCTTTCAGCATTCCCGGGGGCGGAGGGGAGGAATGCCCTGAGCTACCGCGGGCAGCCCCTGGGCCAGAGGAGAATTCTAATGGTGACCCAGTAGCTGTTGGGCTCTGTACCCACTAAGGCTCCGGGACTAGCTTGCACCTGCCGTTAAGATTCTTCACATAAAAACCTCTTGGGTTCCCATGCACGCTCCTGGCTGGAACACACAGTGGACGAGGGTCCAGGAACGTGACCTCCCATTTCATCCAGAAAGGGAGGGGTTGTTGCCTTTATACGTGCGTCCACCCACCCCACGTTCAGTCTCGGGCTGTGCAACTTTTCCGGCAGCCCACGGGACTGACCTCGCTCGCTGGCAGCCCACGATGTCGATCCACACCCTACAGCGTCTTTCACGGGGGGGTTGGCACTTTGGCCAGATATGTTCAAAAGGCCCAGTGGAGACTAGAGCTAAAGAGAAGACCAGAGCGAGAGATTTTACTCTGGAGAAAGGAGGAGGGTAGATGAGACACCTCCGCTACAAACAAATATTATAACTTCTCTCACACACACACACCATTCCTGTCTTCCCTTTCCTAACACTACTCTTGGGATAGCCTAGGATTGGAACGTGGGCCTGGGCACTGTGTTTTCCCTCTTTGTGTTATGTTTGACACAGAGGGATGATTAGAAACAGAGAGTTCTGCATTACCAGCCCTAAGACAGAAAGGAAACAAAAGAGCCGCAGCTGGGAGATAAAGACATCTGGGTCTTATCCAAATGAGTCCCAAGCAGGCGATTTTGGTTACCTACATTTTAGGGGATAAACAGCCTTTCCCTGTAACCCTTCAGCCTACGTGACCAATTCCCCCAAGCAGGAGGAGTTACAGAAAGCGGAGAGCAGACATCTCCATCGAGGAAGCTAATACACAAACAGCAGTAATGAGACCAGAGCAATTCTGGGATGTCCCTTATTGATTTATAACTGAAACATGCTCAGTGGTTGTCTTTAGAACTCTTCCCTGTTGATCAGGTTTCAGATTTTGACGAATAGAGATTCCTTAACTTAATTTCCTTCAACCGTGGAAATCTGTAAAATAACCAGTATTCCCCAGCCTTGCCTTTGCTTTTCATGCCAGCTCAGGGCTCCATTCTCTCACTTTGCTATGAATCAGAGAGGTTACCCAGCAGCCTCCCAGCTATTAAGGAGTCTGACCAGCAGCAAAGCAAGTTAACACTTCCTCACCATAACCAGAGTGAGGACACAAAAGGGGGCAGAGATAGAGAAACACTATTGATGGGGTACACGCCAGGCAGGTCCCTCTGATACCAGAGAGAGGAGAAAAGCAGCACTCCCGCGTCCAAGAGAAACCTTATTTTGCAAATCTAAATGTACCTGGGAGGTGCTGAGATACTAAAAGGATGAGCACAAAATTAGAAAGAAAAGTTACACAGAAACCTACCTCCAACGTCCAAGTCCACTTTATAATTGATGGAATGGGTGTGTACCGTCCCCAGGGTGTGATCCCCAACCCTATTGCCATAGTCCAGACCGTCACCATACAGAAAGGACGAAGTCATGTAGCCTGTGGCTTGGACTTTGGCCTCGATCGCTCCGTTCTGGTAGAAGATGAAGTCCCAGACGTAGTCATAGTTGCCCAGAGTGGCAACTGACCGAAGGACCAGAGCAGAGTTGGTCAGACCCCCGTAGTACAGGGACTGCAAGTTGGAGTAATGGCGCCTCAGAGGAGACCCAGTGTTCTGCTCAAAAATGCAGATGGAGTTTTTATGCTTTTCAGGTGTCTCTGTTTCAACTAAGTAGTGTGTGTCTACGTAGGTGGCTGAATAGGGGCAATCAACCCCCTGGACTAACGAGTATGTGAATCTCCCGATGCCAAAGCTCCCATCCATGTACCTGGTTGACATCCCTCCAGGACAGTTGGACCCATAGACAGATATAGCATCCTGGACACTGATTTCATAGACAATCCTCTCCCCCTTAAATCTAATGTCAAAGAGACGCATCCCCGTGTTCACGTTCACCCCAAAGGCAAAGCTCCAGGCC